ATAAATTTTGTGAGCCTTGTTATATTTGTTAAAACGGATGAGTTGAAAACCTTTTATTCCCACCCGCCCCCCCCCCAAAAAAAAATCGCCTGCAGCAAAATGCTGTTTGTTGTTGTGGGCCCTTTAATTGTTGGTTTTCCTCATGGGTCTGTCTGCCTGTCCCTTAGGTAAGTGGCACCTCACTTCTGCTCTAGGTGTGATGGGCGCCCTGCCTGGGGGTGTGTACAACTGGGGAAGCAAGACATAGACACACCCAGAGGCCGTGGGGGGAGAAGGCGGGATAGAAGAAGGAGGTTTGGAGGAGGCACGGTGAGGGCACAAGGAGGCATCACAAGTCAGCCAGGGACCAACCAACGACGCACCCGAGGGAGCCCACAGCCTCGGAGAAGGCTCACACGCCGGCCGGCCTCAGAGGATCCCCTGCACGCACGGACCTTGGGACAGGCAGGCAGGCTAGCTGATGGCTGAGGGGGTTTAGTGCCTCACTGGGGTTGCATGGCCCGCATTAGGGATGTGCCTCTCAGCAGACTGTGTGGTGTTCCCAACCACTCGGGGAGGCAGACCTTCCCCCCAAACCCAGGCTCCGCCATTGAGGCGAGCCAGGAGGGCGTCCGGCACCTCTGCGGGCCCTCCAGCCACAGCGGAGGCCTCCTGTGATGGGCTGAGTTGTCCCCCCGAAATTCGTATGTTGAAGTTCTAATCCCCAGGACCTCAGAAGGTGACTGCGGTTGGAAATGGGGTTCTCGCAGATGTAGTTAACACGAGCCTATGCTGGATGGGCCAGAATGAAGTCTCGTAGAGACCGTGACTTTGCAAAAAGAGGGAACGGGACATGACGTGTGCAGAGAGAACACGTGAAGGTGGCTCTGGAGTGATGCCTCTGCAGACCGAGAACGCCGGTCCCCGTGCTGGCCCCTCAAACTGCGAGACGATGAAGCCGCCGTCTAGGCCACCCGGTCTGGGGCACTTTGTCCGGAAGCCCTAGCAAAGTCACAGCACCGCCCGCCCCGACTCCACAGCCCGAGGTTTCCGCTGTAGTTCAGTTTCTCCAAAAGACGAGCCAGAAACAACGTAGGGGCAGGTGCTTTAATTGGGGGGACACCCCAGGAGGTGACTTCTGGGGTCCCCACTCTGTGGCTCTTGCGTGGCAGTACTCAATAAAACAATCTTGTCAAACCTCCATTCCTATGAAATCACAGGCAAGAGCACAGGGCAGGGCGAGGGACCAGGAGGGAGGATGAGGCACCAGGAGAGGGGTACAGAGACCACCAGGGGAGACTGGACTCCCGTGATGCCCAGGGGCCTCCCCAGATCATCCCCTTGGAGGACAGGACACCGGAGCCCTGACCACTGATTTCACCTCCCAGGCTGGAGGTTGCCACCAGGGGTGCCATCCCCCCGGTCACAAAGGACGGTGCCACCCCAGCAATTCAAGGAGCCGTGCTGGTAAAGGGTGAAGCCAAACAGAAATGTAGGAAGAACACGGATGAACTTGGCCGCCAGCTCCTCCCCCATCTCGACCCATTGATAACCAGACAGCCGTCTGCAGGCTTTAACTCCTGCAGTTACGTAAACACATAGACCGTTTGCTTTTTTTTTTAAGGACAGCAGGGTCAAACTCCTGGCATAGCATAAATCCGGGATGACAAATTTGTCAGATTCAGTTTATATTCTGCAAAGAAAGCGAAGACACTGCCCGTGACACCGTCTGCTGTGAGGCGCGGCCCGACGTTGGAGCGGTCGGTACGTGAGAACTGCCTCCCAGAACCGGCGACCCGCGCTGCCCGAGGGCAGTTGCGTGAGTTGCCCTTTTGCCCGGCATTCTGTCCTAGAATCTGGCCGTCGGCGCGTAGGCAGCTGCCTCTTCTGTTTAAAGCCCCCGGCATACACCTAACGGATTCACAGCCATCCCTCGGCGATGGACAAGAGCTTGTTCCCACTGGCCGGCGCGGTCACACTGCGCCTTGATGATGAGTGCCTGCATGTTGTGTGCTCCCCTGGGCAAGGCATTTCTACAGGAGGGAGTTTCTGGGTCAAAGGGCAAACAGACTTTACATTTAAGTAGAAACACTCATATTTTCATCTCTAAATATTCTCCCCACTCCCGCCCACCTGCAGAGCAGGCGACGCCCATTCGCCTAAACATCGTTAATTCTGGATATTTGCAAGACAGTGTTTGCAAAACCAACGGGCAGAAAAAAATCACACCTCATTTCAATTTGCATTTTAGTAGGTTGAGCATGTTTACACATGTCTATTATTTGCACTTCATCTGTGAATCACCGATTCATATTTTTTTATCCATTTTCCTAATTTTCCTTTTTTTCTTCGTTGGTTCATTTTCATTCTTTTTGGGATGTGGATATAACCCTTTGTATTCGTGTTATATTTCCTATTGGATCCTTATAAAAGACTGTCATTGACAGCCACCTAAGGTCCCTTGTCCAGGAAGCTTTGAGACTCGCCAGCCTATAGATGGCTTGGATGAGCACATGGCTGACTCTAAACCCCAATACCTGCCTATAAACCCCAATTCGTAGGTTATTGCATGCTTATGTGACAGCACAGACACAGTGCTGGAGGTATGAGGATTGGGGGGACCGTGCCTTGTCCTGAGGTGCCTCGGGGACCTGGGCAGTCTGCACAGCACCTGAATCGGTGCCTTGAGGTGAGGCTGGAGTACCCGATCTGCTCGGGAAGGCGTGGTTCCAGAATGCTGTAATCCAGCACCTACCACCCAGTAAAAGGAAAACCACCCTTACGATGCGCTTTGTACTTACAAAGGTGAGGAGATATGCTATCTTTCAATTGAACCCTAAAGGGTTTTTTAATTAATCAGTATATTCCATTCCCCAGGCATACAGCTAATTGAAATTTTTCTATATGTGAGGTTCATAATTACTACTAAATCTGGAGTATCGGTAGAACAATTTAATCATAGAAAAAGCCTTTTATTATTTTTCATTTTCCTGAATTTTGCCTGCCTGAATGACAGTCACACCTATTATGACACATACCTTCAAATAAAGTATCTTTTCTGATGAGGCTGCACTTCCTAAAATACTCTCCCTTCTGCCGGCCAGGATCCCACCCCATTTCCTAACCCCAATGCCACTCCCCCACCTCCCAGCCTACAACCTGTCACTCGCCCTTAGGATTGTGAAAAGTAAAGGGGCCACACACTAAACCCGACAAGTCGGGGGGTGGGGGACGCCTTGCTGGCCCTACAGACCCAGAGACCGAGTGACCACACAGGGTGGTCTAGACATGAAATCCCTAACTACAGGTGGGTCACAGTGGGGCAGCATCTTTGCTAAAGTCAGTCTTTACCTTAAGTGAGCCCGTCAGTTGTCTCTGCATCTAAGGTGACACCTTGAAATATTAGTGATCCCCCTTCCCAGAACCCTCAGGGCATACCCTCTGCTCCAGAGCAGGCGGCCAGGGACCTCACTGTGCTGTTACCAATTAGCCACCCTGTCTCCACCAGCGTGAAAGACATGTGTATCCCTCGTTTTACTGTTTATCCAACCCGAGATGCCCCCTCTGTGTCCTCCTGCCCCCTTAACCCACCACCTGTGGCTTTCACGTGACCCGCTGACGTCTGCTGTGATTCTAACATATAAAATAAGCTGCAAACGGCCACTCCGCTCTCCAGGGCATTTTCTCAGTCCATTGAGACTTTGCTTCCCGGCAGTTGTCATCAGTTTGGCTCAAATAAACTGTGACAAGATGTTTTCTTAGGCTGGACGTCCCTTTGTGGACAGGCCCTTAGGTGACGCTGTACAGAACCGCACTGTGGCAGCCAGAATAGCAAAAGCGACTACCATCGATTCAGACACACACACCTAGATGCGAACATCTTTCAGCAAACGTTTATTTTGTGAATCTGTCTCCACACCAGACACAGGGAACACAAGAGGGGACAGACAGGGGCACAGCTGTTCCAGCTCACACTCCAGGCGACAGCCACACTCTCCAGGCTCCCGTCCTCACTTCCTCCTGTCACGGCAGGTAAACGGGGACGACTCCAGCCAGGTGGCTGGAGAGGAGGTGTGCTACTGTCTGATTCGGGGAGCACACGGCAGGAGAATGACGTGGAACGTACAGAAGGAGGAGCCCGGCTTGCGTGTGGGTCTAAAGCGGACGGAAGATGTCCAGGGTCATATAGACCTGGCTCGCAGGTAAGATTGGGCTCTGCCGCTGTCAGGAACGGCCTTGCTTGAGGGCGATGGCTTGCGTTGCTTCCCGAACAAGGTGTCGTGCTGGGCACCAAGTGGAGGGACAGGTGTAGTAAGAAGGAGCACAGGTGGGAGCAGATCCGGAAGAAAGCTCAGAAAATGTAAATGACGAAAGCACGAGAAGCTGAGGGCGTCACAGCTTAGGATGGAGGAGCACCCGAGCCACTGGGCGGGCGGGCGGGTGGCTTCTCAGATGAGAGCAGTCCTAGTTTAGACAACTATTCTTAACGTGAAAAAGGCGAGCCCCCAGTCAGTCCTCTCTCCAATGCTGTAACCCCTGTACCCTGAAAATGGGGTCTCCATCCATCCCCCAAATCACACTTTCATTCCCGTAAGTGACCACGCCAAGGACAAGACCGTCCTGTGCAGATGACAACAGCCCTACTACGCGAGGCACGAGCCGCCCCCACTGTAAAGATGTGTCTGTAGGCTCCATTAATCTGTTCATGTACCCTAACATTTCCTGAGAGCCACCCAGGTGGGGTGTCACAGGGTACAAGCCCCCGCCTTTCAGATTCTGAGGACACAAACAGGCGCATTTGCAACGCAAGTGCAAGGCG